CATCAGCATCATTGGGGGCCCGTTTCTCAAATTTGACGTCTTCCGGTACCCCCCCGACCTCCAAAAAAAAGGTGCTCGGGCCCAGATGGGCCTCGGAGGCTAGTTTTCAAAACGGTCCGTGCTCATGATGCACATTTTGGCGGGTTTCATGGACACCCAAAATGCTTCAAAAATCAATCCGTAGCGTATTCGCTTCAAAAACCATATGAATTTTGGAGTGGTCTTGGAAGGGGTTGGGGTGGGCCCCCTTGGAGAAACGAAGGTCCAATGATGCAGGGTCGGCGGCTCAGGCGTCCGCCCCATGGCAAAGCCAGGGCCATGGCTTGCGGCAGCAACCCCAGGGCGTTCCCGATTTAATGGCGTCGCCACTGCCACCGACCCCCTTGACAGGCTTCTCTATTGCACATATAGGCGGAGCGTGGGGATTGTGAAGGGCCTGAAAGGTTGGGCACGTGGGGGGCCGGAAGGGCTGGGCTTGCCTTCGGCAGGAAAGGGCCTGAAAGGTTGGGCGCGTGGGGGCCTCAGGGTGCGAAGGGTTGGGCTTGCCTTGAACTCCAATTAAACTACTCGACGCTACTGCGAAGAACCGAGCCGGTGGCTTTGGCAAGGCGTGGGGGTTTTGGATGGAGCGTGGAGGATCGTGAATGGCCTGAGGTTGGGCGCGTGGGGGCCTGAGGGGTTGGACTTGCCTTGGGCTCGAAGTAAACTATACTATACGTTATTGTGAAGAACCGAGCCGGTGGCTTTTGGCGAGGCATAAGGTTTAGGCTTTAGTTTTAAGGGTGTAGGGGTTTAGGGCTTAGGGTTCTTGGACGCAGCGTGGGGGAGCGTGAAGGGCCTGAGGTTGGGCGCGTGGGGGGCCGGAGGGGTTGGGCTTGCCTTGGGCTCGAATGTCATTTATGTGCTACTGTGAAGAACCGAGCCGTGAAAGGCTTGAAAGGTTGGGCGCGTGCGGGGCCAGGGAGTTGGGCTTGCCTGGGGTTCGAACTAAACTAGTAGATGTTACTGGAGTGCGCGGGATCGAAAGAACCTGAAAGGTTGGGCGTGTGGGGGGCCCGAGGGGTTGGGCTCGAATGAAACTATTATACGGTCTGTGAAGCCGCATCGAAGCCTTCCATTCACAGAGCCTCCGCAAAATGCACAGGGCACCTGCAACCTTTTACACCAAGGTGCTCGCGCCAGAGCAAACAACTACCACCAATCAAGAACTGCGCGAGCAATCCTCACAGCCCCCCTCACACACCACATCCACAAGGCACAGCTGAAACTGTTTGGTCATGTTTTGAGAGCACCGGAGAATTGTTTGGAGAGGAACTTCTGTTTTACGAAATCTTTCTTATATAGGGGAGGGGTTGTCGGGTCGGGCATAAGGAGGGGCAGGCCTAGAATACACTGGGGCGAACAGTGTGCCATACAAGCTTGGCACTGGCTTCAAGACCTCCCTAACCCACCCATGCAAAGACACCCTAAGTTCCCCTTTGTTTTTGTTCAGCTTCACAGATAAGCTGTCCGCCGCCAATTTTGGAGTCGGCTAGTGGGGCTGCTTATGTGCAGGAAGTACCTCAAGCAGACCTGTTACATTGCGTTTTCCCAGTGAGCTCACAGTAAGTTCACAGCATGACAGCAAGCTTGGAGTATTGATGCATATGGCTGCACAAAAAAAAGTTCTGTGAAGAACCGAGCCGGTGGCTTTGGCAAGGCGTAGGGGGTCCGTGGGGGCTTGAGGGGTTGGGCTTGCTTTGAGCTCGAATTAAACTCTATACGCTACTGCGAGAACCGAGCCGGTGGCTCTTCACAACACGTAAGGGGTCTTGCACGGAGCATGGGGGGTCGTGAAGGGCCTGAAAGGTTTGGCGCGTGGGGGGGCCTGAGAGGTTGGGCTTGTTTTGGGCTCGATTAAAACCACTAGACGGAACTGAGCTGGTGGGTCGTGGCAAGGCGTAGGGGGTCTTGGATGCAGCGTGGGGGATCGTGAAGGGCTTGAAAGGTTGGGCAAGTGGTGGGCCTCAGGGGTTGGGCTTGCCTCTACTATACGCTACTGTGAAGAACCGAGCCGGTGTTTTCGTCGCGCGTCTTGGACGGAGCGTGGCGTATCGTGAAGGGCCTGAAAGCTTGGGCGCGTGGGGAGCTTAAGGGGTTGGGCTTGCCTTGGGCTCGAATGAAACAGCTATACGAAACCGAGCCGGGGCCTGGGGGATTTGTGAAGGGCCTCAGGGGCTCGGCACGGCGGGGCAGAGTGATGCAGGGCGGTGGAGTTGAAGTCGATGACTTAACTACCATTAAATAACAAAAGCGAAAACCCGTGCCAGCGGGCAGACCACAGAGAGCAGGAATAGGTGGGGTGGGCGAGGTGGTGGGCGGGGTTGGGCATGCATCGGGGTAAACCGAGGTGAGCAGGGTAAGCGAGCGTCAGAGAGCTGGGTAGCCGCTGCCAATATAACAAGCAGCACATCGGAACACAACTTCTGGGCACCGCCCTGGGTCGGCGGATAAACTCGAACCCTAAACCCTCCTAGCTCCAAAGCTTCTAAAACTTAAGCCTAGGCCCCCCGTTCCTCCCAAAACCCTGATATCCTAAAACCCAAGGTCTCGCGCTGTAAAACGTAAACTCTAAACCTTGAACACAAACCCTGAACCTTAAACTCTAAACCTTCAAGCCCAGACAAACAGAAGTTGTATAGGCCCCAGGTGTTGTGAGCAAAGCCAAGATATCCAGGGAGCAGGCTTTGGGAGCAAAAGCAAACAACGCCAACCTTTCCATCCTGTTGGACAGATGGCCCAGAATACATATTCAGTAGGGGGAGTCTCTTATCATGTGCGGGCGAATGCTATGGTTTTGGGGAGTCAACATTTGCTTTCTGGCGACAATTCATAGCTATTGGAAATCATATCTGGAGAGCGGATTTGTTCTTCAAGTTTTGTTTCCTTTTGGGCCTATGGGCGGAAAAAAAGGTTTGTCTTTGCAAGCCGTTCTATGTTCTGGTCCTAGATCTGGCAAACAGATTTTTTTTTATGTCTTTACCGTGGGGCCTCCTCGTCCAGAGATGAATGCTCGCTAAACGAAATTTCGTCTGGAATCCGTTCTGCGTTTGTTTGGGCCATCTGGAGCAAACGCAAAAAGAAAATCTACTTTTGGTCGGGCATCTCTCCTTTCGTGAAATGATTCCCCTGCGAAAATCCAGTTTTCGTTTCGTTTTGGCCTTCTGGCGCAAAAGCAAACAAAAAATCGGTCGGGAAATCCTTCTCTTGTTGGATATGAGAAGTAAGGATTCCTGACCACAGCAATCTTGAACCCCAGTTACACACATTAAAGCCCCTAAACCTTAAACATCTAAACTGAGCAATCGCCAGTGAAGCAACAACACCGGCACCTGCACGAGCATTAGCGCCAGCACCTGTGCCAGCACCAGTGCTCAGCGCCCAGCTCCATTGTCAAAGCGTTTGAGCGCCAGCGCTGCAGCCAACACGCCAGCTCCAGCTAGCCGTCACCCCAGCCAGCGCTAGCACCGCAGCGGCAGCCCCAGCGTCCCAGCGCCAGCACCCCAGTGCCCCATGAGCAAGTGCCCCTGCGCCAGCGCCATCGCCCACCTCCCCAGCGCCAGCGCCAGAGCGAGCCACCAGCACCCAGCATCAGGACTGCCCCGCACTTCAAGTAATCAGCCACAGTTGCCGATATTCTAAGCCAGTCATGATGAGGCCTGAGGCCACTGCAGAAAAACTTTTGCCCAGGCATTTCTTGATTCCTTGACCATCGTGCATGGCTTTTGCCAACGCAGCGTCAGCTTGCCTGACTCAAGCAGCAAATTCGACAGGGGGAAGGAGTGAGGATGTAATGACTTAGGCTCATGCCTTCTTCTGATGATGAGGAAGCGCTTGTGAGGCATGCTTGGTGAAAACTAGGTCCAGCATGGAAGTCAAGGCTGAATGCAGCCAACTCACGCTGGACGACTCAGAGCTTTTCACCCGCAGCTTCATTTGCATCCTGCGCAGAGTTTTAGACATCCATCAGAAGTTCCGCTCTGAACGGCATCCCCGCTCATGTTTGAGGATGTTGGCTGAGGGGTTCAGGTCTTGGCAAGGCTTTGTTGAGAATCGAAGTGTGACAGGAGCGGTGGGGGACGCTGACGGGGGGTGTACAGTTGAGAACGCAGATCGGAGAGAACCATGACCCAAAGTCGGTTCTCGTTGTCACTTGGCTATTTCCCAGTCATCTTAGCAATCTTGTTTTTCAGATTGCAGGCCCCCTGTGTCTTTATCTGGTGGCCAGGCAGTTCTTGTGCTACTTGTGGGCGGTGTGCTGTGCATCAGCGTTCTTTTGTGCTGTTCACTCATGCTAGCTTCCGCAAACATCAAGGGAATGAGAGGTATAGGTGGGTCAGAGGGCTGCGTCTGGAAGACATGAATTGAGTTAGTCCTGTCGAAGCAAATGCAGATCGTGGGAATTCAATTAGAGCTTCGAAGGGTTGGACGTTCTTAGAGAGCTCGCAGGCAAGGCAGCAAGAGCTTGCTGCGGCAGGACATTCGTTTTCTTTTCAATCTTGTGATTTCGCACGAGCTCAAGTGAGGAGCGCATCGATTGTCTCCTCACCGGTCTTCCCCATCACGGACAGAAGCGCTTGACAACCAAGGCGAAGAAGGTGCCTCCCTTGGTGCATTTAATAAGGGTGATTGCAAACGTATTGCAGTCACGCATGGCGCTATAGTCCTACCGGAGATGAATGAGTCCGCAAGCAGCCTGACATGATGAAGGCCTTGGAGTTGATGACTTGGGAGAGGACGCTCATCTTTGCCATGGATATCTTGATTGCATGTGATTGCCCAGTGCGAGCAAAGGATCCTGAGCAAAGCGGGCCAGGTGAAGCACCGGGCTCTGTTGCCACAATCTCAGCTTGGCGATTCACAGCTCACGGTGAAATTGAGATTCGACGCTCTTTTAAGGCTCCCTCCCCTGCGCCGCAATCACGACAGCCGTCACGACAACCATCCCCTCAGCCAACAGTCCGCACCTTAGATGCGAGTGTTGCTTTAGAGTTTAGAGATCGGTTGATTCACTCAGGCTGCCGCATCTCCCGATGACATGAAGCGAGGAGCTGTGTTGGGTGGCCGTGTATTGGAACAACATTCAATTTCCAGCTGAATAACTGAGGCCCAAGCGGAGGCACATGTTGTCCTTTCGAATTTGAGCAGGGGCCACTGACCATGCGCCTGGGCAGGTTGAGTGATATGCTTGGGCTGTATATGGCTCCACCAGCAAGGCCTCAGGTCCTGGACTTACAGCAAGTTTTGGGGAGGAAAATCCTCGTTCTGCAGATTCCAGGCAGTGGACGATTCACAAGTCCAGGCCAGTGCTATTGCGCTGATGGTCACCTTTCGAGCTGTGACCGTGACTAGGAACTTGTTGCACGTACAGAGAGTATGCGCACACGACTGGACCAGATGGAGCAGCCCAACCCTCAGACAGACTTCTTCATGACAGTTTCATTTTAATCCGGCTGAGGATCGTTGGCACAGAGCAGGCTGCCGTGTCCAGCAGAAGACACAGTCTGCAGGCAAGGAGAGGCTTGTGCAAACGATGCTCACATCTCCGCTTATACGCTGATGCCTCGTGACCAGAACAAGTTGAACGACGTAGACACACTGGCGCGAGCCTCAGTGCGGCAAAGGTGTACACAAGCTTTATCAGTGGGTATCGTCTCTTGCCTGAGAGCACGATGAGGCAGCAATACTTGAAGATCGTATGCGGGAGCTGGACACAGAGTTTCGATCAAGCAAGCAGCATGTGCAATCACAGCCCTGACCCTGGCAATTGCATGCACATGTCGGACGAAGCGACGATTTTGTCTTGACAAGGCTGGACATTCTGATGGCAGCTCACGAGTCCCAGCATGCAGAGGAGGGCTGCATCTTTCACTGTTCAGATGCGGTGTTGACCTCGAATCAGGGAAATCTGCCAGGACCTGAAGCACAACAAGACCTGGAATCTGGCCAACCAGGTGCGGACCACCTCGTCCGGAGCTGCTGCAGACATGTGCTTGCATCGCATGCCACGTGAGCTCTGCGAGCGCACAGATGTGGCATGTGACATGGATCTCTGTGCCGCACTTCGCGACCACTGTAGAACGATTGCTGATCGCCAGGATGCCCTCTTGGATTCACTTTTGATAAGGACATGACGGTGGCTACATTGGCTTGGCCCGCTGACGTTGCGAGTAGAATTGCAGTGGGGCAGCATGCCACGGAGTAAGATCCATCAGCTTCACCAAAGACTTCCTTCGAGTTTACCCTACAACACCTTGATGCATTCAAAGTGCATTGCTAGCTGCGCAAATGGCTGCAGTTCTTCCCCCAGCCGCAGGTGACAATGCTCTTGTTCGAAAGGAGTGACCCATGCAGAAGCTTGCCTCCCAGTATTGCAGGCATGGCCCGCCGGCCGCTATGCCACCTGCTGCGACGAGTCCAGGACAAGCAATGGAACGTCAAAATGTGGAAGATCTTCTTGTGCAGCCAGGCGGTCCCGAGTCAGCGCAGGTTTTGTGACGGGACCTTGGCTTGCTGTCCTTCTGGAAATCATTTGCGACCTTTTGCACACCAAGGGGGAAGTTGACAGTGGAGGGAGCTCCTCCAGTTCACGATCGCGAGCCGCCGTGGGCATCGTGTGAACCCGAGAACAGAGGAGGACTCAAGCAGCACGTCTAATTATCCAAACTGCAAGGCAGTCACCTCTGTGGCTGCTGTTGCCGCTGCTAGCGGCTGGGTCCGCTGCTTGGCGTTGTCCTGTTGTAAGGTGATGTTACGTGGTTCTTTTGGATTTGCTTCTGAGATCTTGCTCTAGCCAGGCATGGGTGCATGCAGGGACCACAGTGGAAATCGACATAAAGCCGATTACTGACGAAGCAGGCTTCCCAGCACTTTCCAGCGCGTGGCCTTGGCTTTATGTGAGAGAGCGCATGAACCTCCTCTTTTTATTGCAGATGGGTGACATTTGGTTTCAGAAGGGGCTACACTCGGGGGCATTGTACGGAAGATGCAATATTCGTTGGACGAAAAAAAGCCTTTCAGTATCAATGTGAACTGCCTTCTTGATGCACTTCGTGGATTTGGTATTCCAGAACGCTGATCACAAATTTCTGGCATGATGCGTCATCGTCGTTTTTAAGTTGAAGATCAGGGTGTCAGTTCTGACTCCAGAGCTCAATTATCTGGCATTTCACAAGGGTGCTCTCTTAGCGCATTACAATATTTTTCATCATAACCAGGACCATGCTTATGCATGATGCAGTGTCAAATACGTATGGCCAAGCTCAAGAGCGTATCTCCAAGGGCATTCAGCAGTGATTGTCTATGCTGACGACAGACCTCTTCTTGGCTCTTGTAACCATCATTTGCAACAAGTCCTTTCCAAGCTCGTTGATGCTGGAAAATTGCACAGAATGGAGCTCTGCTGGGACAAAGTCCAACTACTTCAAGTGCGCTGTCATGCGTCGATTTGGACACCCGCAGAAAACGAGCATGGCCCTAAAACCAGCCATCAAGTCCCTAGGAACCATCTTCAGCAACAACTTTCTGCCTGGGCATGAGCATAAATGGAAAATCGGGACGGAGGAATCGAACTTTTTTTCAATTACAAGAAATCTTGAAAACTTCCTCCCTGCATTGGACTCGCAAGCTTCAGATTTACCAATCTCTTTGAGCTCAAACTGCTGTACGGTCTCAGTTGCTTATGCCTCCACGCAGTTGAGCGCAAATGTCTTGAAGAGAGCAGGCTGCCATGCAGCCACCAAGATTCTTCTGCAAGGGCAGCTTCTGTTTGGGAAAGCCCCACGAAAACCCATGTATTGCACCTCATTCATCCCTGGAAGCTTGCAGTCGACTACCAGCAGATACGTAAGGAGAGTTGGAAGGCCAAGACGTGAATGGGTAACTGAGATTAGAAGCCAGACTTTTCAAGTGTTTGACGGTCACCGTGAACTTGCCAGACTTGTACGACATCCCACGGTATAGCGTAATTAATGCGGTTCATCGTCTCTTTCGTGTCCATGCGCCGCTTGGTGACTGACTGACCGGCTGGCTGGCTGGCTGGCTGGCTGACTGACTGACTGACTGACTGACTCGACCAGCTTCATGCACGCTGTCTTGGCAAACCCATGCTGAAGTCCTTCTCCAAAGGTGTTTTGATTCAGTTTGCTAAGGTGTTCGACGAGAATGACAACCTGTTTGTGTTTCATCTTGACAAGGCCCATGCCTCAGTTGATGTCTGGTCACGCCATGTCACACCAGAGTCCCGAATGCCAGGCATTGAATTTTACTGGTGTTGGACTGTTGGACCCCAATCATGTATTGACCACGCTGGTAGAGTTCTAGCAGCACATAAGTGGGCAACCTGCCTTCAACAACCCGAAAGAGGACCAGAGCGGGTGAAAAATGCCTAGAGTGCACCTTCCAAAGACTCAAGTGATTTTGAAGGCATTGGGCTGAAGTCATGGACCTTCACGCTACATGTCGGTATAGCTGAGAGTGTACAAGACCTTGGTTACACGAGAACAGCTGCAAAGTAGTATGTGTTGTGGTAGATGCGACGTGAGGCGGAGGATCTGAAGACTCGCCGTGGCATCCTGAATTGAGCACGAGCTTCTTCTGGCAGATCTGGGGCTTATCTCTGCACCCAAGGAGAAGACATTCAGAGAATAGTTCAATCATTGATAAAAGAAGCCTCTCTCAAGCTGAAGTGCCCCCTGCACAGATCGCGCAGTCTTGCCGCAGCATTTTCAGCTGCAAAGGTCTTGAGAACTGAGGTACTGTAGGATTTCATTATGGTTGTTGGTCTAGTGTCATAGGGTTCCTTAGGAATGTTGGTGGGTGTATGTGTATATATATACATATATACGTGAGTACGAGAACCCTTTCTGTATCATGTGACTAGGTTTACTTGTAGATTACGCGTATACCAGTGGCTTCCAACAACATCAAGGACTACTAAATGGGTGGGGATCATTTTTTGGGCAGTTTTTTTAGTTGAGGCAGGTGGCAAGGAGGGGTCATGGAGGGGGGAATAGGGTGGTGGATCGGGGGAGGGGTGTTGGGTTGCTGCCCCGCTTACCCATCTGAATTTCATGCAGGATGCTGGAACTATAGCGGGAAATCATGGAAACCATATAGATAAAGTTCTGGAAAATCATAACATACATGATGAAAATGATGGAAGGTGACAAAAGCGATGAATCATGATGACCAATGCTGACAAGCGTGTAAACATCTTGCAACAGGAGGAAATGCTGAAACCTGATGAGAGATGATCAAATATGATTACTCTGGAAATCATGAAAGAAAAAGACGGGAGGTTGAGGGGGCGGCAGCCCCCCCCGCCTTGACAACAACATGATCCGCAGAATCCATCCTTACTGCAATTGCAGCCATGACATGATGCTTTCTTAATATGGAAATGATGGAGACGATGAAACTTCATGGCTTTGATGAAACATGATGAGATATCATTAATGCTGTATCATGTAAAGTATGAAAATGATTGAAAAGTCATGAAAATGATGAGAGATCATGGCAATGGGTGAAAACGGATGAAAATGCTGAAGAGTCACGGAAAATGCTGAAAATCATCATAAAATGATGAAACATCGAGACAATAATCATAGTGAATAGTAATACTAGTACAGGGCCCAGAAATAGTTCACAAGAATGGTAAAATTGGATTACATAGTAATAGCAAATAGTCGTAAATAGCAATTTGTAATAGTATATACTGAGCGTGGTAAGATAGTAGTTCAAAATACAAATGGCTAGTGGTCAGTAATTATAGGACATATGCTCGTAATAGTTAGTAACGAATAGTTACCAGTGAAAAGTAAACATTATATGGTAAACAGCAATAGTTAACAGTAATAGTAAAGAGTAGATAGTCAATGGTAAGTGGTAAGCAATTGCAGCATTTGAGGCCGCATCTCTTTCTCTCTCTCTCTCTCTCTCTCTCTCTCCCTCCGTTTCTTTCTGTCTTTCTTTCTTTATTTTGTTCTTTCTTTCTTTCTTTCTTTCGTTCTATCTTCTTTCATTTTTTCTCCCTTTCTGTTGCTATTTCCTGCTTTCTTTCTCCCTGTTGTTATTTCCTTCTTGCTTTCTCGGCTTCTTTTTATCTCTCTGTCCGGCTCTCCTGCTGCACTGTTGCACATCAAGTCTTCTGCGGGTCCCTCCTGTCTTTCACATACGGAAACTGGCCCTGGCCCCCCCCCCCTCCCCTCCCCCCCCACCCAAAAAAAAGTACCCGCAGGACAAGGCATTATGTTTCCCTACTGAATCTTTTTTCAGACGTTTTAAAATAGTCAAGTTTCAAGAGAGGAAAAAGTTCCAAAACATTCAAGCATTTTGAAAGCTTTGGAAGAATTCAACTTGTTTGGTTTCTTGAATTTCAAGAAATTCCTGGAACGTTTCGAAAAAATCAAGAATCTCCGACATTTCTCGAGTTTCGAAATTCAGGCGTGTCTTCAACAGTTGCAATTGTAGTTTTTCCAGAATGCCAACAAGTCCAACATGTCAAGGTCCGAAAACATCTCACGTTTCAGACACACGGCAAACACCGAGATCCAGCTCCACTAGAACTTCTGGAGCCGGCGTTGGGCGTGCAATCTACTTCAGATGGTGTACCATGTTGCAAAACCCACCATGCAGTCTCATCGTGATACTCGAAGAACTTTCTTGTCGAAGGGCATGGTACACATTTGGAATGCATGCGCGATCTGCCCTCAGATCCAACGATCTTGCTGGCCTTTGGTTTGTGACATCTCAGCAGGTACTATCAAAATGTTCGAAAGGAAGGCTCTGATTTGGAAAGGATGCCGCTGGGGACATGAAGTTTTTCTTCAGACTGGGTCAGGTGATCCACCTCTTCCACAAGCAGGCTTCCCGTGTGCACAAGAACGGATGTCACGGACAGAATTGTCTGCTTGCAAGGTAAGCAGGATGCCAAAGAAGCAGGAGGGAAGCCACCACTGCGGGTAGTTCGAACCCTACAACTTTTGGTCTCTTTGGCGGTCAGTGATGTATGCTACAGGTTAGCGTCCTAGCTGCTGAAGGGTGCGGGATCTCATGTGCGAATTATCAGGTCATGTACAAAGGACAACGAAAGCCTGTACCTTAGCTTAGCCCTAACTATCCAGCACACACACCTCTACCGCCCTGCCAAGGTCGCTATTAAGTATTGGCGATGAGATCCCAAAGCAGGAGGTGCAGATCCCAGGGTCAACCTCAGCATTTGCCATAGTGCGCGTGGCCAACAGCCAGGTGCTGGACTTTTTCAAGCCAGTGTCCCAGGATCTCAGCAAGTTGAAGGCGTGCCGCCCCGCAGTGAAAGTGCTGCCTGCGAGCCTCATGCTGGTAGGCGCCAAAATCGGTTCCACTTGTGTCCAACGAGACTTTCAAAAAGGACACAGACTGCTGGCTTGCATGACATGATGATTTACTTAATCTTGTGTCAGTCTTCCAGGATGTTCTTGACGACAGCCAGCCAGGCAGGCCTATGGTGTTGTTGCAAATGTTCGAGGACATCCCACGGCAAACCTGACACACACTGTCATGTCCACTCTTTACGCTGCAGGACACCTGCTTCCTCTGCTTTCTGATGAGACCCTTCATCAACTCACTGGCCAAGACCTGAGTGAAAGCTCGGATCGATGGCACACCCTGTGCTGCATTGCCTGAGGGTGAGCTCCTCGTTGAGAACAAGGCCCAATGACAAAGGCACACTTTGTCGCAACAAGATCCATTCATGAACATCCATACAGGCACCTTTCCGCCTCAAGAGGTGGGAAGCTTTCTTGTACGAGACTGCCATGTAACGCAAAGTCTGCACCTGTGCTTGCATTGCAGAGGCTAAACATTGAAAGGAACGACTTCCCAGATGGATGTCCAGTTGCAAGAGGCACTGCGAACATGCTCCCCACACGGAGGCCACTTCCATTTGCTCCAGCCACAAGGAACCCCGACCTTCGCCTTGTTTCGCGGATCGAACGCTGCTGGAGAGAAGTGGGAGGACAGGGGGTCGGGATGGCTGTGGGTACTCGTCGTCAGCCGCACCCTCTTGCTTCAGGAGTTCAAGCCTAAAGACCTTTGCGAAAAGATTATGAAGGCAACTTGTAGCAATCTTCAGCGCCTCGAGATATTTGCCTACATGCTGGAAGGTCTTTCCCAAGCTCTCGGATGAGGTCGAAGCCTACATACACAGCGGTGGTAAAACACTTGCAATTAAGCAGCCTTTTTTTGGAGCAATATCCAAGGCTTTCCAGAAGATGGACGAGTTGCAAGCGATGGTCCCGCCGCGTCCTGAAACGAAGGGGCCGTTGGCAATCCTGGAGAGCAGCGTTGGATTGAACTCTGGCACAGGAAACGATTTCAGCTGTTCACGCAGCTGGTGATGTGGTCTGTGGAGCTGCAGAAGCTCGAGTCGACATCTCAGTCTTGGTCACAACGCGTAAAATGTAGCTGTAGAAGCATGGTAGCGCTCAGTGGAATGAAATCGCGGCAGCCCTGCAGTCGACTCCCTCTCGGGGCATCCATTTCTTGACAGTCTTTGAGTTATGAGGTCTTGCATTGCCAGCGCAGTGGGAGAGTCGCCAGTGGATGCAGGGTGGGGTCTCCCAGCCTCTGCCAAAGCGGTTGGACCGAGTGAAGCCATCACCCTGCCAGGTCTTCAGAGGACACTGAGTTCAATGCAGTGCTGAGCAGACTCATGGCGAAGGACATGAGGCTGGCATTCCTTTGCAAAAGACACAGAGCTCCCCTGCCATGCTGTGCTGCCATGTGCTGCCGCTCCCCAATTGACAAGTGCAGGCGTGTGGACGGCCTGGTTGACAGCATAAGCTTTCTGCAGCACCAAGTGGATGAGGCGAAACTGATTCTGTCATGCTCAGCACAGAACCTCAGGGAACTGGTCTCGAGGTGGAGCATGATGCGCTTGTGATGAGCGTCATGCTGGGCGAGCGAGTGGTGTTCTCAGAGGGTTAAGCTGCAGCACAGCTAAGCGAAACTTGTCGGTGCTTCATTGCAAAGACCCCAGCATGCAGAACAGTGCAGAACACCATGCTTGGGTTCCGAGATCAGCCTTGCAGCAAGACTCCGCTCGCAAATGCTCGCAACACTGACGGTCTCTTTCTCTCTCTCTCTCTCTCTCTCTCTCTCTCTCAGGTTTTGGCACGCGAGAAACAGGAGGAGGCTGATGGAACACGTGCTCTTTCTTCCTCACAATGTCCAGTGTCGTGCTACTGTCAGGCACATTTCGCAACAAGAAGCAAGTGAGAGACATTGCTGCGCCAATGCACATTTGCTGGGTCTGAGCACGCAGCACGTGCTTGTAAACGGACCGGATGGTACTATCCACGATTTTCCGCCTTTGGGGGTGCAGTTTGGCGACCTTGAGGATGTTTTCAAACCGGTGTTTCCCATCATGGCGAGCAGCGCCCCGCAGGTCGATGTCATCCTCAGCGTCGTCACCAACGAAATGAGGCCTGCGACTGTTAGCTCAACATGGAAGAATTATGGGAATTATGGAAGCAGTAACGGGGGCCCCATGTAAGGGGGCCCCATGATAGGAGACCTTTAGGGAGACTTAGGGAGGCCTTAGGAGGTCTTAGGGAGGCTTAATTATGGGTCCTGCATATAAGGGGCCCCCATAAGGATCCCATAAAAGAAGGGATGCTGCAGACCAGCCTCACATGAAGGTCAGTGCGAAGCGAGTTTGACAAGAAGCTCAACGCAGTGGTTCTTGCCAACATTGAGTATCAGGAGGGTGAAGATCAGGTCCTTGAAGGGCACAAGGAGGGGGCTTCTTGCGCGTCCACCACAGGTTTTGGAGTTGCTCCCTACAGCCGGCACAGGAGAGAGGCCGCGCCTTGGCAGAGGCCGAGCGTCGGTTGAAGAGCGAGGGGCCAACCTCCCGAGAAACGCAGGACAGGTAGTGTTTTTCATGGGTCTGCTGGGCCACCTGAAGACTTGCAGGAGATTGAAGACAAGCTGAAGAGATTGCAGGACAGTCAGCAGCAAAGCTGGTGTCCCAGTAAGGCAAAAGAGGAAAGCTTGAAGCGGATCAGTCTTTGAAATTCGCAAGGTATGTTGAAGATAGCAGGCCTGCGATCTGCCCACAAGCATGCTGAGGCTCAGGTGCCTGGGTTGCCTCGGGACGTCGGGGGGTGGCTTCGTGTCAGGTTTTCCGATGCGTGTGATGTGACACCAGGCCAACTTTGCAGTTGAGAAGCTGAAGCGCATGCAAAGCGAGGCCGACCGGGACTTGTGTCGCTTTCCGGTCACCCTGGAAGCTTGATGGATCCTTTGCTCTGCTGTCGAAGGTCAGCAACATTATCGATCAGGCACTGCATGGTTTGCGACTGTGTCAACTCAGAGCAAGGGAGTCTGCTGGTACTGAGGTTGTGTATCAGCAGTCTCGGCTGGACTACCTGCTGGTGTGGCTCGGCTTACGTGATCGGGTGTACAATGTACACTGTCATGTGCAGGGATGTGCATGGACGGGCCCAAGGCACAAAGCCGCCATGGATCATCAAAACGCTGATCCTGGTGTGAAGCTAAGCAAGCTTGGATTGCAGGAGTAGGCATTGCTGTTTTGCTGAGGTTCATTTCAGGCCATCGTCTCTGTGGGAGCAGAGAAGGACAAAAAGCCTAAGCTGAAGGCGAGCGCGTGATCTCCATTGAAGCATTGCAGCGACTGCCTTGTTTTTAGCCGCTGGCTTTTCAGGCTGGAGCCACCTTGCCATCCAGGCCTCAAGCATACACTGAATCCCGGTCAATACTTGGATGGACAAGTCATTGGTCTTGCATGTTGGAAGCACCAAAAGGAGAGTACAATAAGAATCCTGAAGTGCTGTGTACAGATGTTCTCTTATGCTAAACAGATCCTTCTTTGGAAGCTGGATTGAGAAAGGGGGAGCCGCGACTGTAACCATTGGCAGTCATTTAGTTTCAGAAGTTTCTGAAAGGGAGCATCCAGAAAGTCAATCTTTCATGACGATAGCCCTAACAGCAATCTGCTGAGCAAACCACCGCTCCCGAAGGGAGCCACTCCCCATGCCATCGCCACTGCATGAGGGATTCCAGACTGGCAGCAGCGCTACGGCGCAATGGAAACATCTTTCCAGCGAACCACTTCACTCGGAGCCACGCCATTCGGATCATCAAAATCAAGAAGGCATAGCGGTCCTGCACTTCAACGAAGAGCTCTTGCACGGAGTCTGCGCACCACAAAGCCATACAGGCACTTCACAACTGCACATCAACCAAGTCATTTCCACACACAGTTTCATCACCGGTACTATACAAGACACAGTGGAGCAAGCCCACCATGGTCAACCATGCCAGTCGGATCATCACCACAAATCACCAAGACATAGCGGCATCAGCACGAAACCAAAGGAGGTCCAGGTGCAGAGCACCACGTGACTGCACTCACCACCACAACTGCACGCGCCAAATGCGACCCAGGCCACTGGATCTCCTCCAAAAAGTGCAGAAGGGGTGACGCCGTCATTTGCACCTCAGTAAAGCATCTGCACGGAGTACACCGCAAAGCCATAGGTACCTCACAACCGTACACTGACCAATTCTCTCAATCCTCAAAACAAGCCGTTGCCAAGTCAAAAAGGGAGACAATCCATATCGGCTCATAGGCACACCTGCCTCTGCAAGAGGCCGCCATCAAAACCTCTGGCAGGGCGCATAAGCCAGATCGCCAAACGAGAGAACAGCATCTCCCCGTCTCGAGCGGCAGCAGGCCAGAGACACACCATCCTAAGCGATGGGCAAGGCTCATCTTTCCCTGTAAAATGCAACCTCATCACAGCCATGGCATGGTACGGTAGGGGTCGCCCCGCAATGCCGATTGCACGGCTAGCAGCACACTGCACTGCCTCAAACGTTGTGCTTCCCGTGTCCACCCACACTCACTGAGCCATAGGTGTGGGCTTCACCTCGACGAGTCTCCCTGGCGTCAACACCGGTACTTACGATGTAGGTGGCACCGTCCCGGGTAATTTGTAGACCACGAGTTCCCGTGGCCGCTCCCCGGAGAGGGTCGGGACGATCCAGAATTCTGCATGCCGGCCGCCCCAGGAACATGAACTTGCCCATGGGCTTGAAAAGGGTTTTTAAAATATGCGCAGACGTTTACAACGGACGTAGCCTGGCTCTGCTGCGCACGCAGCAAGTCAACCTGTGCTTGCAACCGGCGTGGTCATCCGCGCTCGTAGGTCCATGCCTTACTGGAATAAGCAGGCATAGGATTGGTTGACCGTGCAGTGAAGGTTTTTCCAAAGTTCTTTGTCCTGCGTATGTCACATGCTGCTCAGACTCGGCCTGTGCAGGCAGATGACGGAGCGCACGCCAGGGCCGGATTCCGGCTCTCGCCTCAAAACCTGGTGAATGCACTTGTAGGCAAGCCGTGCCCATTCGTTGAGCCGTGCGTGGGCCCTGTCTTGAGCTCAAGTGCATCAGAAAAGAGAAGCCATGCCTACATGCATGCAGAACCGGATCAAGCGCAGTTCTTGGGCTCGGGTCAGGTTCGTGTCCCATTGACAGAGGCAACTTGCATGTGCATTTTTTCAGAATACGTAATTCAAGGAGGACCGCTCCAGATTCAGATCCAAAGCCATCGAAAGGCAATTCATTGACCACCACGTCGGCCATGGCTTAGACCATGCCCACACCCTCATATCCCGGCCTGCTTTAGGTAGGATCTTATTCTGCTTCGAGTTTTCTTTGAGCCATCCTCTGTTCCAATCTGGGTCCGCGCAGAGGTACGCCAAGCTAGAGTCAAGCCAACCAAATCAATGCCTCAAGAGGCGCGAACAGCTCAAAGAACCCACAGAATGCCAGGATTTGCGCTGGGATTCTTGGGATCCAGTTTTGGTACGTTGTCTGCTGCTTTCACGCAGAAGGACTGAAAGCAATTTGTTTGCTAGATCAGAACTCCTGTTCCCAAAATGGCCATCATGGAAGATAAATTCCCGGGTATCTGTCCTGACAAATTGGAAACCTATAGAAGTACTGAATGGTTCCTTCAAAGTACCTGTGATCAACCCCCACCCTTTTGAATTGCTTCACCTTCATTGACTTTATGCCGAACATGTCTGCAGTGTCCAACAAAGATTTTCAAACCAGCGCGGACAAGGTGCTGAAGCATCTCATGCGCCAGACTCATCCGCGGCCTTCCAAGACTCCGAAAGGTTGTCATCCTTGCAAGAGATCTGACTTGCAGCCTGAGGACGAAGTGAACACATCGCGTATCGCCAGATTGGGAAAGAAGCTGGTGGATCTTGACGGCCAGGCCAGCCAGCTGGAATCCGATGGTTATGTAGGAGTGTCTCAAAGTTTGTTGTCCAGGTCCACCGAAGCATCACAGAAGTGAAAGCAGATATCGAGGCATATGACTGGCACGTGAAGAAGATACCTTCTTGATCTTTGGCGTTCCTGTAGCTGTTGCTCGCTTAGCTGTCGCTCGTCATGCGCTGCAGTCCGTCAACCAGACGCTGCTGTCGTTCCTGGAGTTCCTGCCCCGTCGACTGCGAAGGCGGGGCCTCTTTGTCGCAGCCGGAGTTCTCAAGTTGTTGGGATTCCAGGATGCTTCAAAAGCAGCTGTTTCCAGACCCAGAGGACCTGAACTTGTCGTTCTTGTCAGCACGCGGGTTCTCAGAACATATCATCTAGGAGGAAGTGGAAGCTGTCAAGACAGTATCTTCCTCGGAGAGATTGCAAAGCAGAGATGATACAGCAGTCTCATGCCCCCTTCTAAGGAGACCAAGCATAATGACAACAAGAAAGTGAACTTCTCAGATCATGTAGAGACCTGCCCTCAGTTGTCACAGCGAGCACTAAAGCGGTGCAGTTGCTGAGCAGCTCCCAAGGACGCGCACCTTCCTCGTTGAGGACGACAGTCGGCTTCCGTGGCAATTGGTTGGTGAGGCAGATATCAAGTCGGAGGCTTACTGGCTCCATACGGCAAGGTCAACCAGTGCAAAGCTCTGGAGAAGAAATGCCCTCAAATGGCTTGGTTCGCCCACACATCATGTGGTTTTAGGGCTTAGTTTTTTTAAGGTTCTTCAGGATTTAGGTCTTAGGGTTTTTATGGTTTAGGGTTTGTAGGGTTTAGGGCTTTTTAGGGTTTAAGGGTTTCTAGGGTTCAGGGCTTTTTAGGGTTTAGGGGTTTCTAGGGTTTCGGGTCTAGGGTTTGGTAGGGTTTAGAGTTTGTAGAGTTTAGGGCTTTGTAGGGTCTAGTTTCTTTAGGGTTTAGGGTTTTTAGGGTTTAGGGTTTTTTAGGGTTTAGGGGTTTTTAGGGTCTATGATTTTCTAGAGTTTAGGGCTTCTTCTGGTATAGGGTTTATGTCGGGGTTTAGGGGTTTTGGGGTTTACAATTTATTTTAGTTCGGGTTTTTAGGGTTTTAGGGGGGTCTGAGATTTAGATGGTCTTTAGGGTTTAGGGCGTAGGGGTTTTTAGGGTGTACTAGGGTCTAGAATTTGTCAGGATGTTTTGAGGGTTTAGGTGTGTTTCAGGGTGCAGGTTGTTTAGAGTTTATTCGAGGTTTTGAGGGTTTAGGACTTTTCAGGGTTTAGGGTTTGTTCAGAGGCTTTTTGGCACAGGGCAACGTG